GGCAGTCAAGTGCACTAAGTTCCCGCTATGGGCGGAGTCCGGAGAAAAGTCGGACCACAAGGGTCTATCGTACGCAAATTTACCCTGCATTTTTGCAAGAAGCTGTTTTCACGGCTCAAATTCGTAACCTTCTGGTCACATACAATAATTTTACCAATTACATTAAGGCTCCTCTTCCTAATCATTATTAAGTGATACCATATTTTACATCAATCGTTTTGTATTCATTTGCTTAGTATAAATAATGCGTGGCGTATTTTCCTTCAAACACTATACTTGCGTTTTAGATTTCTATCTCACATTTCCGTAGTCTCCCAAAAGGAAGAAAATACAACAATTTTGTGTTTTTGCAAACAAAACGCAATTTGGAGGTGGACGGCTGGATTGCAAGGCGGTACCTATATATTTGGGGAAAGTAGTTGTATGCTCTTTTTGTCCCATGACTTATTTTCGCACCCAAACGCGGCCTTATTTTACAATCTTTTCCATAATTGTTTTGATTCAGTCATAAGTTTTGCGGCTATCTTTTTTCGTTTCCATTAATTCGTAATTTCGTACTTTCACTGAACTTTACAAAAGACGTCATGTCTGGTTGCCACATCCACGCGCTCTTCTTGGATTTTAGCTATTAGTCCCAACAAATTTAAAAAGTAAAAATTACGCAGACACATTAAATATTTATATTGTATTTACCATTCGTAACTATACTTTTAGCCAATCTACTATTTGTAGCTATATTTAAATTTTATAACAAATTTATAAAATAAGAGATTAATTATTTCACCTTAATTGTATTCGCTGTGAGAACAAATATAGCCGATACAAGTTTATCCTTTGTATGTATATACCTTTGTATACACTTGATACAAGTTGTACCCTTTGTATACCCTCTTGTATTTCGACTTGGTTACAATTTATACATATTGTATTCGTGCATTGGTTACAGTTGATACATATTGTATTCGTTGCACGAATGAATATAATTGCGCGAATAAATACAGTTGATACAGACATTCGTTGAGCGAACTAATACAGTTGACACATGTTGTATTTGTTGCGCGTTTGAATACAAGTGATACAAATTAGTAACAATTGAACAGTAGCTATGAATGGTAATTAGACAAATTATAGTTATTAGATTCTAAACTATAGTGCTTTGTGAAAATTCTACTTAAAAAAAAGACAGTCCGATGTATAAAACATATCGCATTTACACCGGTTCTAAGAAAGGGTTGCACCCACAGAGTGTGATGTAGACAACCTACCCTAATGCAAGGGTGCTTTCATGGTTCCAAGTCGTGACACAACTTTACCAGATTCCAATCCCAACTAATTATGATAGTAAATAACATACTCCTTTCTTTTTAATTTACATGACACACTTTCCTTATTAGTACGTTTAAAAAAGAATACCCCATTTCTATATTTAGAAACGATTTAACTTTAAGCTTTTCATTTTACCATTTTACCCTTAATGAGAAGCTTTTATAGTCGGACAAATATTATGGCCCCATAATTCTTTTGCCCCTTAAGCTTTTAAAATCACATATTTAATATCTTCTTCTTCTTTTTTTAAATTTTGTACCAAGCTAAACCACATCATCTAAGTTGAAACGGAAGAAGTACATAACTTGAGCCAAACAACATTAATATTTCTCTCACACTATATGCAGTACATAATATAATTGTTTATATATAACTCAAGTAGGAAAGATAGGTACAAGAGAGTCCCACGGACAGTACAATCAAATAAAAGGACCAAATTATCTGGATTATCCTTTACCTGTAGGAATACTAGATGAACCAGGACTTGTCCATGGTTGAGCTGTTCCAATAAAGTTGAAGCTATATGATTGAGCCACATGGAATAAACTCCTAATTAATGTTTAGGTGAAACATTTAGGACAATCTGGGGGTTCTCATTATTTAAATAAGATGCCACTGACATAGTTTAGCTGTCAACAGAATAATTTTGACTTAAAGGGTGCAAAAATAGACTAATTAATAATACATAATTAAATATAATAATAATAATAATAATGTGTTTTGCATATTAAAGTAACATAATTGGCTATGACTTTTTTTAAAGAACTGGCAACTATCTTACATTACCAAAACACATACGTCAAATGTATTCTATGCTGAATATTGCAATTGACTACATATCGATAATGTCCCTTATGTCTGTATAAATACCCATTCATGGTGATGTGTTTGATATTTTATATGATGGTGTTACTATTTGTGGAATTAAATATAGCTTTTTCATTGTCTATAATTTTTGCAATTCTTTTTAAATATTTTATTTATTAACTATATAGATTTATAGTGCTTTTCATATAGTAATTTTTAAATATAAATTTTGTTTTAAAAACATAAAGAATCTACTTTTGAACTCATAATAATAAAATTAAATAATTTGATCCGACTGTACTCCGAGCCCTTTCATATTAATTGAGATAGAGGAAGTACTAATTGGCATTTCTGTAAAATGTGTTCAAATAATTCCCTTGATTTCCAAACATGTCAACAACAACGTACCAATTTAGTCTCACAAGTGGGGTCTGAAAAGGGTAAAGTATACGCTGACCTTACTTCTACATTTAAAAAGGCAAAGAGGTTGTTTCCGGAAGACCCCCGCCTCAAGAAGAAGAGAGGAGAGAGGCAATAACAAGCAAATCGATTACAACCAAAGTAAAAATAGGAAACTAGCAAAAAATAATAAACCAAAATACAAGACAACAGCAAGTAGTAACCTAAGATTAGGGGTACAAAAAAACACGGAAGGCACCAAGATTTCCAAACATGTCAATAATGATAAATGATGGAAGAAATGAGTACCTGGCCTCCAATTTCTCCTTTGTCCTAGATGGCAGAAAATTTAGAATAACGTCGAAATTTAGGCTTACGATTTCAACTTCAATTAAATATTGTTCAGCTATCAATTTATAACTTGTTTGGTCAAGCTTCTTCAAGCCGAAAAAAAAAAAATACTTTTCCTTCAAAGTTAAAGTGTTTGGCCAAACTTTTAGAGGAAAAAAAAATACTTTTGAAGAGAAACAGAAAAAATAGCTTCTTCACATAAACACTTTTTCGAAAAATACTTTTGAGAAAAATACACTTAGAAATACTTTTTAAAAGCTTAGTCAAACACTAATTGCTGCTTACACACAAACTATTTTCACCAAAAGTACTTTTGAAAAAGGTATTTTATCAAAATAAGTTAATTTTTCCAGCTTGGTCAAAGAGACTATTAATATCACATCTCAAGTTACATGACATTCATATTGTAAGATCTTCAAAACATCCATATAAATTTCTAAAGTTTAAAAATTCGGACGATACTTTTGAAATATATTAAAAGTCATTTTTAATTTGTTAAATTCAAAGAACTATTGGCCCATAAACATAAACATAAACTGAGAGCTGAAAACAAAACAGTGTGAAGACACGGTTTCCAGCCTATTCCCATGTCCAAGTACAAGTAGTGAACCAAAAACGTTTCAAAATCATTTTTTGCTAAGCCACCGTTTCCTGAAAATGACACTTCTGCAAATTATCCTTACCTCTCGCCAATTACATCCAATGATTAAATTAATTAAAACAGTACTTGTCTGATAGCAAATGATAATTAGTCAACTATTACGATCAGTAACACAAACAGAGTCTTCCAGAAAAAAGTGGATTAGTAATGTATGCTTAAGTATTAGTTATGCAAAGATTATTTTTTATCCATTATTTGGTGTGGTATATTAGAAATTAAAATACATTGTATAATTTTTAAGAAAATTAGTTGTTTACAAAAATGGCTCCATATTCTTTAGCTTTAAGGATAATTTTGTCTTTATCAATGTTAATGCATGCATTAATAGCCTTGGTATTGCTATGTATTAGTAATACATAGGATAATACCAAATATGTTGTACAATTAATGCTTGCATTAGTAGTATATAGGTTGAAAAAGTGTACCAAACAAGGGATTAGTAATACCAAAAGCTAATGCATACATTATTTTCTCTAATGCATCTTACCAAACGACTGCTAATAGTTGACTGAATAAAACAAACTCCATTGGGAACACCCTTTAATTTCCTAATATTGTAACAATCATCCTCAGGCGTATAAATCATATGAGAAAGACTCGAATATAAATCCCTTATAACCAAACATAAAAACAGTTATGTATAATAATTCAAATTCCTTTAATGACTCAAATTTTTTGATGTGATTTCTATCAAATTAGTTTCTCACAAACTAATGTAAAGTAAGACAGATGAATTACTTTACTATATTTGTACTCTCCATTTTGTAAGTTTCTCGGGACCAAACAAAGGATAATTATAGTCTGGGAAAACGTCAACCTTTTGATGGGTACAACTTAAAAGACAAAAGCAATTACCAAATTAAGAAGAAAAACAAAACGAAATCGGAGCAGCTCTGTCAATATTGACAACGCCTTGCATTATCCCTAGGTCCACAAAATATCATCCACTCTTTTAGATCAAAACTTGTGTAAGGTATCAATTTTTTATTTTAAAATTCTCAATTTTGATTGCTGCCCTCGCTTGAATTCTGGATGAGATAAAGCACCTCTAGTAAGAGGTATTTTAAAAATAATAAAAATAAAAATATTCATCTGTGTTGAGGCGAAGGCAATTTTAAGAATTTCATGTTTCTTTGGTCCGAGGGTTGAGTACACCAAATATATTATTATCTAATGAAATACTGTACTGTAATTCTGGTTTAGTTCATGTAACAGATGTGATAGATACCCTTGCATATTTATAATCGAAAATGAAATGCTTAAATAGCGCAATACAAATAATCATAAGAACTCATAAAGTCGACCCTAAATTGCATAAAGTTGAAGCATAATTGTTTATTTAAAATGAAGGACTTCTGAAGAAAAATGAATCTGGAGATACTAGGTGGGGTTTTGGCCAAACGGCCCTCATGATTGGAGAGAGTACTCGGGGGTGAAAGGTGAGGTGATGCCCAACTAAAAACGCCAAGTCTGCTTATTATCCGCTACATCACTTCCATTCAAATATGCAGCTACTCATTTTAGCACTTGATGTCATTAACAAACTTTTAATAAGCTAACCCAAACGGGCTCTAAGCCCATTCTATTTCTCTCTTGACAACTATTACACGAGAAGCAATCTCAACCTGGAAAACAGGACTCAATCATATCAACACAATACTAAAATAGCCAAGAGGTTGATAAACTTTGTGAGTGTACATTGCAAAGTGCAAACCGCAATCATGTCTCATATAAACTACAAATACAGCACTATATAATCAAGCCTGCCATATCTTGTAGCACTCTAATCGTCGTCCTCAAGAACATTCCGGCGCCTCTGGATCTGGGAAGGGGACAGAACAAATACGCAAGAAGATTCAGGTTCTGCTTTATGAATGGAAAAGGATCAAAAATCAGAGCAGAAGAGCGACTTACTGTTACTTTCGTTTGCTTTGTAGTTTGGGTGTTAATTTGTTCAAGTAATTGTATAAGTTTCTCCTCAGAAACCTACAAAAAGTAAAATCATTCCAAGCAAAGCAGTAAGGGCAACCATACAATAACCAGATAAAAGGAAAAGGTTAAAGAAAAGAAGTAGGTGGAATACACAAACAGCCCATCAGCTTGTTAAAGAATTTCCTTTTAAGACTTCAACAGAGGTCATGATCTATTGAACACCTTATGTAGTCAGATATGTGCCTATTAAGCCCTTTAAGATCAGCAAGTCAAATAAACAAAACATTTGTAGTATTAAGCTGTAAACCAATAAAAAAGAGACATGCGTCTGTTAAAAAAAAGTTAAGAAAATACACGTAACTAAGCTGCTTCTTTTTCACCCTTGGGAAAATGAAGCGAAGGTATTCTAATGTGAAGAATGTTCGTGAGGGAGTGAATTTGTTCTCCGTGAAGAATGGGTTAGATGGGGCACATCAGTTTTATGATTCCAGATCCTGGGTACTCATACCCGTCAACATATAGCTCTTACTTCACTAAGGATTCTTAAAATTTGAGAAGGTTACCAGCTACAGTAACTAACTATGTTTCTTAGGCTAGGAAAGATTTCAAGTGGTTTTACCTTACGCAGGTGGTGGAGGATGTGAGGTAATTCCTTGTATGTGTGGTGACTGTGAGACCAGATGAATCATCTGGTGATTATCCTTGAGATGAAAAAGGTAGGTCTAGTGTTGTGGATGATTCAAGTGAGTGTGTGTGCCTACTGGTGTGTGATATCTTACAGAGAGCCATGTAGTGTGTTTGTGCAAGTGGAAAGAGAGTAAGGTACGTGGTGGTAGCTGGCATGTTGAGGGGGAAAACTGAGAGAATGAAAGCCATGGTGTTTTAGAAGATGAAAGTTTAGAATAAAGATGATAGTGAGTAAAATTCAACCCATGTTGCTCTCCTCCGATTTGGAGTTCTACATTTTGGGGTTTAAATCTTGTATGAGTTTGAATAAGGAAGAGGAGATTTTTGAGGTTTGAATCTGGTATGGGTTTGCAGGAAGAAAAATAAGAAGACAATGAGCTAAAACTGGCTGAAAACACATGTAGTAACCGGAAATTCAACTTTTCCAGATAAAAAATTCATATTTTCAAGCAAACCGCACTCAAAACGAGTGAGAAATACACGAGCTGCCATATTCAGCAAAAACGTGTCTATTAGGCACATTTTACGCACGTCTAGTGGCCAAGGGGTCATGGGCCTGACTTGAGGTGTCTAAACAAAAGTTTTTGACAAGTTTGAGGGGCTATCTATGTATTTTGCCAAAGAAGTAAAGAAAAACAAAACTTACCTTTTCTGTGATCTGCCCATACTGAGCAGCTCTGAGTATAACATCTTCCACTCCTCTGGCCTTATCAGGCTTCACAAGAGCAATTCGAGCAACTGCTCATACAAAAATGAAATTCAGGCCACAGGTTATATGATAAGAGTAAGAAGAACATAGGGAACCAGTAACTCGTAATAAAATCAATGGAATTAGGTAAATTGTCAAAGAACAACAAAATAGACATGAAACATTAACAGGACTTGAAAAGGTAGACCTGCTTCATTGTTTGTTAAAGCAAGTACTTGAAAATGAAAGAGCAAAGACCCACCAACTTTTCTAGTCATAATGCCTTGCCAATTAGAGCAACTAATCAACTATATAGAACACCTACTTAACAGAATAAGGGCGAATAACTAATTTCTTTGGCCAAGAACTATTACACTAGATCATTAGATAAGAAAGGATGTAAGCATATCCATTAGTTTTCTCTTAGAAGGGGCACTTCGAGGTAACAAATATGCATCACTGATGATGAAGGAGCTCTTAATATGTAGAGGATGACCGACACTTTTTTATAAGGTAAAGTTTTATTAACAAAGTACCAAGATCATAAATAGTACATGACTAATCAAACTCAATCAAACTAAGCTACATGTTCCCTCCCAGCAGATACAAGAAATCTAGATATTGATCCATACTCTCTACTTTTCTTTTCTTTTTTTGATAACCGTTGTGACAAGGCCAGCTTGCACGCACCTCAACTAATTCTAACGGGTACCCGTTACCTCCTACCAGCACAAGTACCAATTAGCTCTATCCGCTAGGGGTGTTCATGGTTCGGTTTGAGTCGGTTTTTCACTAAAAAAAAAACCAAACCAAGTAAGTCGGTTCTTCAAATATTGGAACCAAACTAAACCAATTAAGTCGGTTTTTTATCGATTCGGTTTTTTCGGTTATTTATCTATCGGTTTTTTCCTCTTAAATATGAGACATACACTACCCAACACATATTCCGGCGACTACATTTTGAATATAACACTATCAAACCAATTGTTCTTTGAGAAATCCATCATTTACCTAGATATATTGATGATAATTGAATCAAATAGTGAAATAATTTAAGTATTCAATTAAAAATCAGATTATATTTAACATGAAATAAATTCTTGTACTTAGTAAAATAAAACTACCAATCAATCTAGAATATAAATGCAAAAATTAGATTATTATAATAGCAAAGAACTAAACTGAAAATATAAACAACTAATATGTACCATAAAATTTTAAAAAAATTATATAAAATATACATATATATAGGTGTAATAATAAATTAAAATAGCTACTTTTATCGTTTGGATCGATTTTTTCGGTTATTTTTTGATTAAAATAAAACTACCAATCAATCTAGAATACAAATGCAAAAAAATTAGACTATTATAATAGCAAAGAACTAAACTAAAAATATAAACAACTAATATGTACAATAAAATTTTAAAAAAATTATATAAAAATATACATATATATAGGAGTAATAATAAATTAAAATAGCTACTTTTATCGTTTTGTTCGATTTTTTCCGGTTATTTTTTGATTAAAACCAAAATCAAACCAAATTTGATCAGCTTTTAAAATTCAAAACCAAAACCAAACCAAACCAAACCTAAAAAGTACCGATTTTTTTGGTCGATTTGGTTCGGTTTTTGGTTTGGTTCGATTTTTCGGGTTTTTATGAACACCCCTACTATCCACCAAGGCTTGGACAGAGGAAAGAAATCACCTATCGTTTTCGCCTCCGCTGAAATTTGAACTTGAGACCTCATGGTTCTCAACCCACTTTATCACTTGGCCACATACTTAGGTGCATTGATCCATACTCTGATTATATTGCCATAAGCGAAATTCTCTTACTTGTTAAGCCCCGACATAGCTTGGATTATAGTTTCAATTTTCAACTTGACAAAATGAACTTGCAAAACCCAATATACTTGCTTGCAGATAAATAGAGCATGGAGAATTGATATTAGACTTAATCAAATATTCCTCCAGCACCAAATTGAATTCCACTTTCACTTAGGCCACATAGTTATCAAAAGCCATCGCTTGTGTCGCTTAAAGCGATTAAGCGATGGAAAGTGAGGAGTCATCACTTCATGGGTGAAGGCATGCGCTTCAAACTAGTGATCCCATCGAAAACGGGTCAATTATTTTAATCTCAACTTTGAGTAGTTGGATCAATATCGACATTACTGAATATTGGATGCTGAAATTAATTAATTTAATTGTGATTTGATTATTAAAGTACTAAATTTATATGTCAGGTTTCAATTCTCACGTTTCGATTCAAGCCTCACGGATATTTTTGCTCTTTTGCTTTAAAAACACTGCTTAGGTCAGCACAGAATAATACCTTACGTGAAAATGAAAAGTTTACTATATGGCATATACCACAAAAAAGTAACACCAGACTGATTTTTAGTCATCATAATACAGCTTTTTCTCTAAGCATTCTTCAAAATCAAAAATACACTTTTCCCTCAGGAAACACCACAACATACATTCTTTATTGCTAATCCGTAAAGTCAAAAGCTGCTTATTGTATAGGAAAGTGAAAAGGAAAATTGGGACAATTTGGTTTTCCGCAAAATCTGGACTAACTCTCAATTTCCCCTATCCCCCAGGACAATTTTATGATGCCTTGCATTGAGGCAAGCCTCAAGCCGCACCTTAGAAACCGTCGAATCATATTCACATGGAAACTAAGAAACAATATATGGCGCTCTGTTGCATCATATATGTTCTAGTTACAAGGTCAAAAATGTTTAAGCAATATACGCTGCATCTGAATTGAAAGTCAGATTCTACATCTAAAAAAAAAAAAAAAAGATGCT